TTTTGACTTTTCTAAAAATTTCAGATTTTCCCCTAGGAATTTGAGCATTCTGCACATGTTTTGATTGTTGTTGTCATGTTATTTCATGACATGCAGCAATAGTGCATAATTTAACATGGTTGAAAGGTTAATTTTAAGAAAATGCATCAAATCAAACACACTTTACTCAGTGACATATTGCATCCTCTTCTAAAAATCAAAACAGCTTTTGCATTGAAACCGTCTACAGCTTTATATTACAGTCAGTACTGTAATATATTTAGATGTGTGGGTTTTCTCTTGATACAAAAGGTGGTGTTAAATTATCAAAAGACAGTTTGGGTTGTGGGAAACATGTTTCCTGTGTGTCTTAGATTCTTGCCAAACTGCTAAGAGTGATTAATATCTTTTCCCTCTGTCAAGGGAGTGCATATTTTAAAGTATCACATCATTGCTTCAAATATATGGCAAGATTCCATGGTGATGCTTCCAGTGTCCCCCACTCAACACCCTTGAACAGTTGTTTGAAGATACTTGGTTCTTAAAACTGAAAGATGTACCGGCAGCAATACAAAGAATTGCATACTGCGTTTCTCCCCAAAATATGCAGCCATAAACCCTCCTGTAGCCCAGCTATGGCACCATCCACCTCTCAGAGGTGGATGTCACATACCTTTCTAAAAGGCCACATCATTCACACAACTTTGTCTAGTTTGAGAAGTCAAACAAAACAGCTCTGCAGAAAGATGCCACTGACATCTATCAAGCACACAGTGAAACAGTGTAGTGACTGTCCAGAGACAACAACCTCCCGATGTTCTCAGTTCATACAAAGGAACTGATGTTCTGCCCACTCTCAAGGTGTTAGCTTTTATTTGAATCAACTAACACTTGTGGCACTCCCAAGATCTGGATATCTTCAGTGTAAAAATCAAAAAGAGTCCTGGTTTTAGCAGCTGGACCCCACTTTATACATGAAATTTCAAGCCTGCAGATCTTCTCAATAATATAAGCACGGCTTACCATTTACAATGGTAAAAGAGTGCTTTGCCATGATTTCAGGTGTCCCAAGAATGACTGAGGTAGCTGAACAGCAACAGCCCTTGAGCTTATGCGCTTGCTTTGACTGGTAAAAAAACCTCCTCAATTTAGGCACGTTTTGCTCAAAACCTGGCTTTGCTTGTTACAGGAGTTAAAAAGAAAAGCAGAAAGATTTGATTCCACATGACTATTATGGAATTCACAGCCAGGCAGCCTGAGCACACGGTTTGACTCAGAAGTGTTTTTCCTTTAAAAGGAAATGATTAAATAATTCAAGTATTCATTACTAACCAAGGATGGCTTCCTTCTTTCTCTAGTCAGCTCATCTGCGCTTCCAAATAGCTGTTTCTGTACCTAAGCCTCTTCCTCCTCAAGGCTCTCATGCCTCAAGCCAAAGAGCCCTGGACTGTGAAGCAGAGCCACAACACACAGCAGAAGACAGACAAGAAACAGCAACTTCCCATGAGATTAGGAGAGAAATATCCGAGGTGAAACAATTCCTGCCAGCACAAAGTGACAACCCCGCACATTTGTGTGTTGTTTGCATTGTGTCAAGATTAATCTTCAACTCATCATTGCCTATAAAGCTCAAAAAAGCCTCAACAAGCAAGGCTGGATGCGAATAGACCGTCTTTCAACAGAGTAGGGCATCAGCAAAACCAGACTACAGTTGCCAGTGCTGCTGTAAAGGAGCAAAGGGTTGCTTCCACCACCAGTATACTAGCTCTGGCTATAGCTTCAGACATACAAGCAGAATCAAAGGCCAGACTGTTAATAACTCAAACGGTGCAACCCTACAGTGAGGGGCAAAGCTATTTGATGCAGGATTCAGCAGGGTCTCCTTGTCTGCCCTCCCAATGCTCATTTTACATGTCCTCATTAAGTCAAAAGGAGGAAGCTAAAGGGACCAGGACAGGTTCAAAACTGATCAAGGCAGAAGCTCGGGGGGTACTTTTGGTTAAGTACATTGTTCCACTTTGTTGAAGATTCTTGTTCAATAAAAAGAGGAGGGAAAAAAGGTTGCTTTTCTGGTTCTTTATCCCTCTCACACAATAGCTTTGGTGAACTTTGCATACACCCTACTGCCTTGATTTTTATTTTTAATATAACAGTGGGAAAGTCTCCAAGGCTTAAATAAAAATCTTACCTTGGCAGGCTTTTGCTTCTAATACAACACAGATCAGAGGGGTGTTTTTTTGGCACTCATGCCTGAAACAGCTTATTCTCCAACATATGATTATATTAGTTATGAAAGCACTATATTATTTGTCACAATTTCATCAAGTTGGGAAAGTGCCTCAGGTAACAGAATGGCATCTTCCTGTGCAAACTTTCATATCCTATACAGATCTTTTATGATACTATCACTGTCAGTAGCTAAGTGTAAGAGAAGGATAATGTATCCGCTTTGTTTCTAATTCCTATTATAGCAAAACAGTCTCAAAAGAACCAGCCACACAAATAAAAGTACTATTGATGTGTTTATGCTGAGCTGGCTTCTAAAGCCAATTCACTGCATGCAACCTCTGTGATTACAGTCAGGTCATCGTCTCCCGAGTTTACCACAAGCACCAAAACATCTACCAGTGCCTCTGAAACCCAGCCTAAGACAGATTCTGCTCCAAGCTCAGGGTTTCTGCTGTTCTTTGGATTCAGTTTTGCTTTGTGTAGCTCTCCTCCACACCAGGACTTCATGGTTCTTTCCTTTCTTGACTGAAGAATTGGGGTAGAAAGTCATACTGAGATCATCTTTCAGACACAACGACATGAAGAATTCAGAAAGCAGCATCTGCCATCTTCCTGGGTATGATGTTCCCAGATGCTCAGACTCTGGAAACCCTAGGACACCCATCTTGGCCCAGAACAGGATTGCATACATCAGCCTAAACTCTTTCTAAAGCACTTTGAGGAGTACCAACTTGCTTTTAGAAATATCCAAGAAGTTACACATGCAGAAGCAGAGCACACAAACGTCAAACACATTGGTTTTATCTGTTCAATCTGATGAAGGGAGAGATTTCTGGAGGTGGACTCCAGGAAAGCCAGTCCCACAGCCAAAGCTGTATCAAGAGATGGCAAGTAGGATGGAGGCCATCACACGCTGACAAGAAAAGCCACCTCCTCGACAGTTCATTGTATGCAAACTGGAGATAGGGAAAGAGGACACCCCCTCCTGGGACTATTTTTTCCCACACCTCTGGCCCTTCTATAGGGCAGATATTAGTCTTACAAGATGTATTTACCAGGAGACATTAGCAAAGCTGATCCAGTTGAAATCATCTTTGCTCCTATGATGCAGCAACGTGCCTGTTTCTCCATACATCTGAGTAAAGACCCAGAAGGAGCCTGGGCCTCCTCTCCCAGCATCAGCCCTGCTCTTTCTGCAGACCTTTAGGGCTCTGCCCACCAACTCTTTGTGGGGGAAAGAGGGCAAAAGCAAGACTTAGTAATTTGAAAACCAAACAAACTGAAGATGACTGTGAATGTCAACTATAAATAGAGCATCAAGTGCTGCTGTGTACCTGCAGTAGAGCTGAACTGAAAATAGCAATATGAGAAGACGAAGCCATGCAGCACTGGTGTTGAGAAACAGCAATGTCAAGAGTATGAATATAGAAAAGAATAAGACTTTTCTACAGTAATTATCTACCTAACACAGAACAATGTGGAATAAATATAGAAATTTTATTGCCAAAAAGGCTCCTACTCCCACAGCGGTGCTCAAAGAGATGAAAAGCTCCAGAAAATTAAATGATAGAAGAAAAATAAAGACTACCTTTTTTTTTTTAAATATGCTTGTATTTTTCTGGTTTACCTTTTGTTCTATGGCACATTCCTTTTCTTAAGGGAGATTTCTGACCAGAATGGATCTAAGCCTGTGCATCTCCCGAATACTTGGTCAAAAGGTCCAGTAGTGCAAGTGGGAGTATTTGCTTACATAAGGCAATGAGACTCCACAAGAAATTAAGGTACTGAACAAGCACTGTAAAGATCAGGAACAAAACAAACCGTTGCCTTCAGTTCCTGTTTGGGCTAGCCGATTGCTCTATTCCTCATAGACAATTCTCACCTCATTCACACTTGGCTGGGTTATAGAGTGATATGTTCACCTACACTCAGAAGCTGGTGCCAAAAGAGTGAATGCAACCAAGCCTGCTCACAAGTCATTTCCCAGTGCCATATACTCATCCTGTCACACAAGCAGTAACCAGAAAGGTCACAAATGTTTTCAGTGTTGGAAGTGGGCAGCACTTTCAGTACAAAGCTAAGGTCCTGAGCTAGGTGTGCCTGCACTTCCTCCTCAGACCAATGCAGCAAGGCAGCTTTCATAGCAAACGTTCCTTCCTCAAAGCTTTCTTGGAAAGCTGGCTTGAACTGCATGGAGTCTTGCTTGCATTCATAAGCACAGCACAACAGGCCTGCTACCAAACACTGCAGTCCTGATCCACACACACTGCAGGGTTTTGGTTATATTAGAAGTTCTTCTTTAGAAAAAAAGCAATTCAGCTATAACATTTGGTAACAGCTCATTTAGAAACCACATTATTTTGACATTTTACCAATGATTTGTTGGTTGCCTATGCAATGGGCAATCTCAAAGATGAGTGGTTATTCTAAACCAATATCTAACAAACCTAGTATCTAAACTAACCAATTTAAATGCTGGGAAAGAATTAGGACCTTTAAGTCAAACAAATTTGAAAGGTGAATCCAAAGGCACAATCTGACGGAATCATGTTGATTCCTTTGCCAGGTGTAAATAGTGCCTATAGAAGTTTTCTTCCTATAAACACATATTTTATGCCATATATAATCATATAATCACTTTGCCTTTTACTGTTTCTCTATGCAATTATTTGATGCCACACAGCATTTCCATTCTTTCTTTTTTTCCCCTTGAAGAAACAACACACAACACAGCATGAATTCCTTGGTCTGAAAGCTCAGAAACTCATGGAGAAAAGTAAGCCTGTACTTACGACCAGAGGGAGTTTCTCCCCTGTGTGATGACTCCAGTGAATTTTGTTAGCCTTCGAGCATCTACTTCAATCCACTGATATGGGTCATTTCTTCCTGCACACCAAGCACCATCATAAAAATCATTTTCGTTAACACCTGCCTGAAAAGAAGGAGAAAACTGTCTTTATAAATCAGAACCAAGAAACCAAAGGTCTTTCATGGGAAAAACGAAAATAACACACAAAGTCATCACTCATTCCACTTCCTCCTCTGGCACCACTTTTAAAACCCCTGGGACAGTCATTCTCACCAAAATATTTCCTTACTCAAAGCAGGGAGGGAAATTCTGCAAAGTCCTTTTCAAAACTAAGAACCATTACATATAAAGTCAAGTTAGGGTTAGAAAGCATAAATAGGGCTTCAGTTCACTGTACCAGTCTGTGGCCTGAGAGAGCCTTTATCCAGAAGAAATGATCCCCATGGTCTTCAGTTATGAAAGTCTTAAAAAGTCAGCTCCAATCCATGTAAATAATGGTCAGTGCTGGAGCAATGTCATTTCCCTTGGCAAAGGAGAGAGTAGGGCATATGGAGATAATATTACTATTTCCCATCAATTTTTAGTCCCAGATTTATTAATTTTCATCACAAGGGTGTCAAAGGTTAAAAATTCAGGAGTGCCCAGCTGTCCTTCAACTTGTACACCAGTCTTTATGCCAGTTTCTTCTGGCAAAACCAGCTCAAAAAGCCCTCTCAATATTTTCAGAGAAATAGCTGCAAGGTATTTTGAGTAAACTGTATTCCAAATACAGCTGAAATATTTAAGGAAACATCGCATCTGAAGTCTTTAGATATTTATCTTATTACTAAAGCCCAGGAAATTTTTGGCACCAAGCAGCTACTGCCATAGAGAGCACAGAAGCTTTTCCATATGGTTCTCTGAGGCTACATGTAGTTTTATGATAACCCATTTGTGTTGAATATGGATTTATTGTTGCCATCCATGGAATTCTAAGAAAACATATCCTTAAACATGTCCCAGATATAAATGAAGGGTCTGGAAAACTTTGTTATATTAGAGACGTATCTTAAAGCTCTGATATAAAGCTACTGCCTATTCAGTGGTAAACTTTCAGCTGGTGTGTGTGTATATTTAAAACATAAATGAAGTATCCAAGAGCACAAGTGTCAAATTTCCCTGAATTATGCCTCAGCTTCCCTCTGAGCAGCATTAGCAGATGTTACAGTCATAGCGGGGTTACAATGGCAGCGATCCGACATTTTTAAGGACCATTTCCATCAAAATGGGCATTGTGTGGGTCTAACTCAAAGTGAAGACGCAGTGGGAAGAGAGATTAACTACAAGCCTGGTGGCATCTGAAGGAAGAGCTGCAAAACAGACACAGATTCAATTCCTAAAACTTCTTATTTTCTCAGGTACTCAAATCTGAGTAAGAGCAGCTTAAAAACAACTTGTTTTCCTAAATTCCAAAATTACCTTAAGCCACCTACTTCTATGTATTAACTCGATATTTTAAAATGGAGTTTGCTTAAGGGTTGGAGATAAAGGGAAAAACCTCTATTAACAATGGAGGTTACATTTTTCAAGGAGAACTGAACAATGGGAAAACAGGAGAATACAAATGTGATCACTGACCTGAGTAATAACCTTTCACAAGGAAAAGTTTCAATGCATTTTAGAATAAGATGAAATTTGAAGTAGCCTTCGGGTTTAAAACCAGTGCTTGCCAGGAAGCATTAAGATCTGCAGAGCACCTTGAACCAGCATTATGCTAATCCCATTCACAGTGATGAAATTTGACCAATTTCTCTGCACCAAACACCTGCATCTCTCGCTGCATCAGCTGAGATCCTTGGCCCTCATTCAGACTGAGGATATTTCCCATTGGTGTGATGATCATCAGGGTGTAAACCTCTCCTCTACGTTACTGTGAGAGGTGGGAAACAGAGGACAGAAAGAAAAACTTATATGCAAAAAAAATCCCAATTCTAATTTACTTACTAAAATCTCCATGGTTTCAATTGGATTTAAGCATATGTTTAAATTGCACATCAAATATGGGGAGTCTAAAGAACATGCTTACGGTTATGCACATCTTAAAGTAATATGGCCTTAAAAAGTGGCAAAGAGAGCATTAAAGAAAAGAAACGATGCTGCTTCTTGTTCCTGCTTTATTTCTTGCTATTAGCTTCTCTGAAGCAAAAAGTATTTTTACTAAGCAGAAAGAAGCAGGTATCTGTGTATAACTAGCACAGAGCACTATGTGAAAAAGAGGACTTTAATCAATGAGATGTTCTTGTTAGAAATATTTCTGAGGGAAAAGAATAGAAATAAACACGTTAAAACTTCTCTTTTCAAGCTTTCAGTCTGTGTTTTTTCTTAAGGTGCTTGAAGTTTTGAATTTGCCCTACAGCCACTTCAAAATACTGTTTCTAAAACAAAAAAACCCACCTTATAAATGCAATCAAATATTTAGTAGATATTTAAATTTCTTTGGGAAAAACGTTAATTCCTGAAGGATGAGAATGGCCATCATCAAATATTCAATCAAAGATATAGAACCAGATGCCTTGGCTCAGTAAGATGGTGACTTGAATTTAAAAGTTGTATATTGAATTAAAGGAGATATGAATTAAATTATAATCTGTATAATTTGTATATAATGAATTAAAGGGATAACTAAATTTATGACAAAATTATAGTTTTATGAATTAGAAGTTATGACACACCCAAGCTATACATTTTAAACACCTAAGTTGTCTTTATAAGGAGTGCAGCAGCTAATTAAAAATGAAAGTAAGGACTAAGTCTTAAGCAAATCCTTGTTTCCATCACTCAATTTTCAATAATAACTCAAAATTAACCCAGATTTCATAAATGCTAAAACATTCCTGAATATGCCGTATTGTATGAAAAAATACCTTTTTGATATAGAATAAGGGACTTCTTTTATGTCACTCCTAAATAAGTTCTCTATAAATATGACTGTTGAAAATCACAAATCAAGTAAAACAAACCAACTACTTATTATGTATCCAGAAGCTAAGATGAAGGGAAATCAAAAGGTTATGATTCCCTTACAAATGATGACTTGTGGTTTTAATTCATGTTCCTCTTTAGAGTTAGATACGTGCAAAACAGAACAAACACTTGCTCACATTATCACTGTTCCAAAAGCCTTATTCTATAACACAAAGATGTTACTGCCTAAATGTATTCAAACGAAGAAAGCAATTTCAGTCTGCTGCCATAAGTCAGCTAGAGAAGCAGCAGGAACACATAATATCAAACCACGTCTGTTTAAATTCTTCTCCTGTTTCCCAGAAGGATGATCAGAAAAATTATTTTACCAAAGGAAGTTTAGAAGGAAAATAAGAAATAGAAAAGCGTTACTCATCACAGGTATTTATAGCAAGCACTGTCAGTAGAGGAGAGGTAAAGCACGGAGGCTGGAAGTGTAACTTCAGTAATTGTGCCTTTTGCTTATGTTTTGAGAATGGAGCTTTTCAAAAGGAACTCATGAAACAAAGAAAAGACAAAAAGCAATACATTCTGCTTATCTGCATACACGCAATTGTATTACTTGCTCAATCTTCACTGCTGTTGGATTTCTCCAATCAGGAAAATGAGGAAGGGGAAGAAATATCATTCTACTAATTATTTCAGATTTAACCACTGCTAATTATTGGGCAAGTGACAAATACTAATGACTTTTATCCCTGAAGGCAGAGGGCCTCAATGAATATTATTCTATGCTATGATTTTTCCTCATGATGTTAAATTACTACTCGTGGTACTACTGCAGTTGCAGGCTGGATCTCATTGCTCCTGCCTGCCAGAGCTCCCAGCTTAATCACCACACTCACACAGGGCCAGAAGCAAAATCAGGTCCCACACAACGTGAGGTCACAAGAGGTACAGATCCCAGAAGGTCTTATCCAGCCTTGATAAGCTTGTCCTTCTTTGGAATAAAGCGTAAACTGACTGATTAATGTTATACACTTCAAATAGTCTAATCAGAAAAAACTAACCCTCAAAAGCCTTTGAAAAATTTCATTATTCTACAAATTCCCTGTGCATTGGGGTAGTGCCAGTTACCTGGGGTGAGCCCTAAGCTCCTCAGCTGACTTTGCAGCAGATGATAACGCTGGGCAGACAGCAGATTTTGTCTTATTTCAGGAAGAAGCACAACGGTTTCTTCCAGACATATGAATACTGGGATGGCTCCGTGGTTATACCCAGAGCAGGCCACCAGCCCATAAAACTGCTGATCACCAGACACATAGCATAGCGCTCTGATGAAACTTCAGAGGCACATCAGCCTCTCTGAGTCTGACTTGGGCAGAGTGTTTACTTCATGTGTAGTATTAAAGAGCATGAAAACACAGCTGCCTAAATACCAGTGCCTTTTGTCTTTGCCCAGCACACCGCAACCACCCTTCTAAACAACAAACAGAAACCACCAGGGACCTGGTCGCACACCTGACGCATCAGTCCTCCATAGCACTTATTCTCAGTTATAAGCATATATCTTTTTAAACACTAGAATTCTAAATACTTAAATTCTAAATGTAAAAATGTTGAGACTGAAATTCAGAACTCTTCACACAAAATAAAATTAAGCCCTAAAATCCAAGTGACGGGGAAGAAATCTGAGAATCCAAAGTGGCTTTGAACAGATTTTACCTACTAATTTTAACCTGACCCCGAAGGAAATACTATCTAAAGAGAAATAAACGCAAGCCCATACTTTTAACACTGCAAGTCATCGTAACACTAAGTGGTCAAGGGGCTTGGGGGAATTACTGTATGGATAGCATACAGATAAGTTTTCAGTAAGGGTAAAAGATTTTGACTCAAGCATTGCTAAGTATCTTTATTAAAGACACAGCAAATAAAAAGGGCTACATTTAAACAAAAAAAGTAAGCCAGAGAAGTCACTTGACTATAAGCCAGGTGGTTGGGTTCATTGTAGGTGAGCCTCACACAGTCCTGGGATCAGGACTATACCAGAAAAAGTCCCTATACCAGGAAAGAGCAAAAGCAGCTTTTGGATAATAATAAGGATCAATCCATGCAGAATTTGTACAGCTCAGGAAAATGACGACACAAAATCTATATGAAGCAGAAGCGTGACATTGCGAAGCCTTTGTTCACAGGAAAAAAGACCCATGAATTTTGAATGGAGAAGAGTAAAAACCCAGTTTGCAAAACACTGTACCCCGGCTTCACTGGAGGCTCTGGACTATCTTTGGGGGAAACACCATTCATGGTTAAGACTTTTACCCATCTTTATTTTAATGCAGCATTACTGGTGATGACATGACACACAACTAGATGGACTCCTGATCTGAACCAGTAGGGTCATTCTTGTCTTTAAGTAAATTGAACTTTAACACCAGCATGAAAAATAAGGGACCACAATCAGAGACTCACATCACTGCCCTTGGTCTTATGCCACTATATAACAAAAAACAATAATAATATAATTAAACTTTCCTATAGAGCCAACCTGAATATCATTTGCATACCATGATTTGTGCCCATGAGGTTTAATTCCTAGCAAACAATATGACGTAAAGACACAAACTACCTTGCACAGATCTCAAAAGAAGTTCCATATGAAGTCCTCCAGCTGGCTGTTTCTCAGGCAACTGCATAGCAAAACAGCTTTCTGACTAACATTAACTGATTAAAACAGCAGTGAAGAAAAGAAGAGGTTCCCCATTCCCCATAGACAAACTCACATAGCAGAGGCACTAGAAGATGCTGAAGCAAAGGGAAACACTTGCATAATGGGATTTTAACCAACAGTAGTCCCACCTTCCAGCAGCTGCCCCCCATTACATGGCAGTAGGCACCACGTGAAATTGTTCTACTGATTAGAGCTCATCCTTCCTAGTCCCAGCCTAACTGCCCTAGTTCATTAACTAGCAAACCCTTTCAGCTGGAGAACAAAACAGTCTAATGGAGGGTCTAATAACAGGTAAGTAATAGATTAAGAAAGCTTTAGAGACTTTTTTTGTTGTTGATTTGGTGTTAGTATCCTGTTTATGACTCTGAGCCTTAAATGTTGTGTTTTACTATGCAAAGTAGCTTTTTCTCATTGGAAAAGACTGTAATTCCGAAAACAGCCCTAATAGAGTGGAAAACAGAAACAAGAAATGGGGGAAATAGAATTTGGTCCTGCAAAGCAGCTAAGCACATCTTTCATATTAAATAAAAGGAGCTAAACTAGATTGCTTGCTAGTGACTTCTGAACTGAAGCAATTTTTGGTAGTACAATCACTGCCTTTGAAAAACTGCCTTGGGGCAAGTGCTTCACTTGAAACCACGGTTCTAATTAACCACTGTCATTAGCAAACAACAAAAAAAGCAATTTGCTGTGTAAGCTTCCTTCCAGGCTGATTGCTAAGGGAGCAGCTCTGGGCTGCCTTCACCTTTGCTTGCTCATAGAGGTCTGTTTGGATTTGCACCCTCAGCACACTAAGGTTGGAGTTTTTCTAACTAAGCCCCATGAATCTGCAGGTTATCCATCAACCTTATTCACTCCTATAATTCCAGTGTTTCCCCTTCATTTGAATTACATGAGCTGACAAAGTAGTCAGAACCAATAATCATCCATTGGTTCTCTTTATACAACAGTACAACCTTAAGCCATTCTCCCACTTAGGAGAAAAAAAATGGATGTTACCTGAATATTAAGCCTTCCTCTGTGGGCCCCAAGGCCATACCGCTTTGCTGTAGAGGCATGGAGCTGGAAGTCAGTAATTTTTAATGTCTCTAGTCCAAGTGGAGGGCAATCTACAAAACAAAAGATTGATTAAAACTTAGTTAAAAAAGAAACAGAACAAGTATTCAAAGTTTCTGGATTTCAATTGTGCCAAACTGGCTGGGGTCCTTGACTGGTACAAATAAGCACAGCATCACTGAAGTCAACGAGGAATGGCAAGTCTTACAAAATCAATGAAGGAATACCCTTGTGTTGGGTGCCATGGTTTAGTGTGAGGTGTCCCTGCCCAGGGCAGGGAGTTGGAACTGGATGGTCCTTTCCAACCCTACCTATTCTATGGTTCTATGATTCTACTGATTTACACCAGGTGAGGATCTGGCTTTTTGAGGGTCTCAGTTATTACTGCTTGCTACATGCTTCCAGTTTTCATGGATATGCACAGTATTTCCTGCCTAGTGCCTCTCAGTACAAAATGCCAGTAAAATGGCCTTTTATTTTTCTTCCCTTTTGGCATTTACTTTTTCATCTCTTGTTTTGATTATTCTCCCCCGTACTCATTCCAAGCTACTGTATGAAGTTATGTTTCCAATTAAAATCTGTTTTGGAAACTTCAAGTACATGTTGCACAACAGCATCTGGTCCAGAGGTCTGGGACTGGGGACAGCCACGCTCTTGCTTGACTAAGGACAAAGAGGGCAATTATGAAACAGGGGCCACCTCAGCTCCAAATTGTGCAAAGCTTTGAAGAAAGAAAAGCAGATGTTACTCCAGCAGCTGGAGCTCTGGTTTTGGAAGACAAGAAGTTGGAAAGAGTCTGCTTCATGATTATCAGAAAAATATCCCCTGCTCTAAAATGACCCCAGTACCACAGGATTTAAGTAAGTCCCTCATAGGGGTTGGAACTAAATGATCTTAAGGTCCTTTCCAACCCTAACTATTCTATGATTCTATGATTCATAGTGCTTAGTATATTTATCCTCAAAACAGCATGGTGAGGTGGGGAAGACCCATCTCAGGGTTTCACAGGAGGTGAATAAAACCACAGAGAAACACTTTGGGAGCACCTCAGTGGGACAACAGGGCACGATTTAGTGACTGAAATCAGCATGAGCTGGAACAGGAAAGTCTGTGTGGGGCAGAGGTGGAAAGCAGCGTCATACTTACTATTTAGACCAGGTACTGGTTAGGTTAGACTAGGATTTGCACTGCTCTGGCTTTACCACTTCTGGGCTTGGATAGAGGACAGATTTTTTTCTGCAGTTAAATGTGGGAGGATTATTGTAACTTGCACAACAGGCTGTGACAGAGACAGAAGCTGAACACCAGCAATGGATCCCAGGCCACATTTCCAATCCCCAGGCCACCCCTCCCTATCCATCCCTTCTCACTGCCTGCCTGACAGCTGGGATTGAAATCTCTTTTGTGCTGCAGTTGCTGGAGAATTCATAGGATAACACCACACAATTCCAGCCTGGTTTGTGCTGGAAGGGACCTTAAAGCTCATCCAGCTCCAACCCCTGCCACTGGCAGGGACACCTTCCACTAGAGCAGCTTGCTCCAAGCCCCTGTGTCCAACCTGGCCTTGAACACTGCCAGGGATGGGGCAGCCACAGCTTCTCTGGGCACCCTGTGCCAGCGCCTCAGCACCCTCACAGGGAAGAGCTTCTGCCCAAGATCCCATCTAAAACCCCTGAAGCCACTCCCCCTTGTGCTACCTCTACTTGCTCTTATAATAAATCCCTTTCTAGTTTTCTTGTGGGCCTCTTTAGGTACTGGAAGACTGCTTGTAAAGAGCCCAATCCTGCGCTCTATGCTTGTGTGTCACTTACATATATATGTTTAATCACTCACCAAAATGTCATGAGGATATGTACCTGAGAATCTCATCCTGGCTGTGTCTGTCAGGTGTAGTTTTGCATCGCGACGTACAAACTGGCAAAAATGTATGGTATTTCATATGTTCCTCCTTAGCACATAACAACCTAAAATCCCTCAGGAAAAATATTAAGTGTTGTCATTTCACCCTGGTATTTCTTTGTTCATCTATAGGAGAATTGTTGCATAAATCCAGGGCCAACTGTCTCCATCAGAGCCAGTAAAGATAAATGTTAAACATTTAAGTATCTTCTAAAGTACCAACAATGATCTTAGCCTTACACAGGAGACAAAATGTAGACAGTTCCTCATTTTGAAGAGCTTTCAATCTAATTATCCAAAACAGAGAAGAGACAGGATGTATAAGGGAAGCCAGAGGAAGGAATAATTTGTTGGATTTTTGTTTCATTGGCTGATTGTTTTAATTGCATTTCCTTAGAGAGTGTTTCATCTTTCATCATACTCCAAGTGGAAGAAGTTTCAGGCTCTGACAGATCTCTACTGGGAATATATTGCATAGCTGGGAACCGCCTGCCTTTCTTTAACAAGAACCTCAAGACAGGTTTGGAAATCAATCTCATGGTGTAATCCCGCAAACACTTTTGCACTTTGGTGTATTTTGCTCTGTGAACAGTGTAGCATTCCCAGGCACTCAAAAGCTATTCAGAAGTACTTGCACCAAGCAAGAAAAACAAGCTGCTTTTATATACTCAGCTCATAAAATATCATTTAATGCCATCTTTATACTGTGCCTAACAAGGCTGAGGAGCGATCCATAGGTACTGCTAGGAGTCAGTAAGAGTAGAAACAAAGAGAACAGGCAGATCCATTTGCAATGGATCCCCTAAAGCTCTGTCTCTTCCACATTGTTTTTCACACCCCGTTCTCTGCTATTGAACAGAAGCAATGGCTGTGGAGCTGCCCTGGGGACAGCCAGCACATCACTGCTCCATTGCTCTCTCCAGCATGGAGACCTGTTTTCATGCACCATTTGTGAGCCTGCCAGCTTCCTGTCCAAAGTGACCTGCAGTGACTTACACCTGGCAGTCTATGTACGAGAAGCGGGTTTGGTTTTATTCAGGCTGAAATGTTACTAATTGACTATAAAACTGGCATATTCTTGGGCTGCCTGTGGATTTCAGGGAGGGTGTCTTAGACTGCAAGATGAGTATTTACAGGCTGGAAAGTCTGCCTGCATGTATTTGTGTGTATTATCTCTGTTTCTAGAGAAACTGAAGCCTAATAATAGACTCAAAAATGTTCTATGGGTCTCAGATAAACACGCCTGACTGCTCTTTATTTTTCAAGAATGAATTATTTGTATTGTCTATGAACGCATCAGATTAACAGGCCAATATTATGAAATGCTCAATTTAACCAGAAGTTTCAATGAAAGGAAGATTGAGCTTTAAGATTAAGCAAGAGCCCTATGATACGGAGTATAGATACCTTTGATGAAAACTGTGCAATGCATTGTTAACAACATGCTGTCTTTTCTCAGTGTGGTCAAGCCTTGCAATACGTTAGCTGAAATCATTAGGATCTTTACCATCAGTTCAATGGTATCCAGGATTTTACTTTTTACTGTTATTTATATAAACTAGTAGGAGAACACCTAAGTTGCTTTCCCTTAAAGTGAACTAGACTTGAAGCTGGAACTTCACTAACATACCAAATCACACAAAGACCTTATTTTCTTTTAACTTGGTAAGAAAAAATCAAGTATTTTGCTCCAGTACTTGACTGAAAATTAATGGAAAGCATTCCTTAGCCCCTCTTTTTCCAGTGACCATCCCAAACCAGGAACAGAGCAGCAGGATTCTCCATAAAAGACCATTGACCTTTAGATGTTTCTGTGTGCACAGTTTCGCGCAGGAATGATATTCTTGGAGTCATCCAGCCTATTGTTTTCAGTAGCTTTGATGTATGGAATTTGTGCTGTTTTCCACAAGAGAAGACCTTTGATTTTGCTTTTAAATGAAATTATGTCTTTTATTCATAGCCATAATATTTGACTATTAACACATTAGGCATATTATTTTTTTCACATGCATATGAACTCCAGCATCTATAAAGGGATGAAAACAGGAGCATATTAGACCAAAACATCAATCTGGAATGCACAAAAATATTTGGGGTAAGTTTTTCAGTACAGCCTCATCTGACTGACTCCAAGTTACTCAACACAACCCAGCTGAAGTCATTTCACTACAGAAAAGAAAATGTCCTGAGTTATACTGTGACTTTAACTTCAGCTAAATTATTTTGTTGGGGTGTGTGTCTCCTGTTTCTTAAAGGTACTAGGGGGTTGTCCTGGGTTTAGCAGTATCAGTCAAGTCAGGACAGGGGTTAAAACTTAAACAAGGGAAGTTTAGATTGGATATAAGGAGGAAGTTCTTTACTGTGAAGGTGGTGAGGCACTGGAATGGGTTGCCCAGGGAAGTCGTGAATTCTCCATCCCTGGTGGTGTTCATTGCCAGGTTGAACAGAGCCTTAGTTGACATGGTTTAGTGTGCGGTGTCCCTGCCCATGGCAGGGGGGTTGGAACTGGATGATCTTAAGGTCCTTTCCAACCCTAACTATCCTATGATTCTATGATAACCAGTACAACCTGCTTTTGAAAAGCATACAGGAAAAGAAACTGATTCCTGGCATTCATCAAGACTACCGTTTATAAAGTATTGTTTCAATGCATTTTATTTAACTTTAAGAAATCTTTGCTATAACAATGAAAATTGCCACACAATCAGTAAGACTTCCTGAATGATTTTGTATTCTCCCTGCTAGCTTGACAAACCCTTGCAGAAGCTAGAGAAATTAAGCAGCATAAATAATCAGGGCAGTTCATGCCTCATAGATACAACTGGAAATGATCAAGTTATTTGGTTATTTTTTTTAACTGGTTGACAACACAATCATTATAAAATATAGGAAATTCAAGTACGGCTTTCAAAGACATTTCAAACCACATCCTAGGTACATAAAAACTTACTAACATAGTGCATCTAATGCATTTATGTTTTAGAGCAACTGAAAAGCAAGCATTAAGCTTGCAAATGCAGGGAAGAGCCTGAGGTATGGACATTTCTCTTATCCTGGCCCATATCCAAACATGATTTCATATGTGATTTGCAACCACAAATAGGTATTCACATGCCATTAATAAGATGTCTGGTTCAAATTAGTTAATCCATTC